CTTTTTTTGATACCTGCTTTCCATGATTTTAAATGGTCATGGTTAGGGCTTAGCATCAAATGGTAGCCAATGTTTACTTGTATTTCCCCCAAAGAGTTCTACTCCGTAGTAAGTACTAACTCACAGTGTGATAAAAATTGAATGGAATTCGCATTTTACACTGGTCGATGATAGGTTTTAGATGTTATGAAAAATTGTTCATACAGAAACAAATATTATATATGGAAAATGTGAAAGCATGCAATATTTGCTCTGAATCTTTTAAGATCTAGACCAATGCTTGTTTTTGATCTTTGTTTTATACAGTGTTAATGGTTTTAAATCAATTGTGACAGTCTTATCCAGTGTTTTACAAGACAGTCCTACTTCCACGTCCGTCGCCCGCGTGGCGCAGTGGTTAGAGCGTCTGCTCTAGAGTCGCGGAGTAAGGAGTTGATCCTTACATCGCGGGTTCGAATCCCTCTGTGGGACGTGGAGACCGGTCCTTCGGATGAGACCGTATAAACCGAGGTCCCGTGTCGCAGTAGGTGCTGGCACGAAAAAGATCCCTCGCTGCTCAATGGCCGTAAGTGCCGAGTATAAGACAAAATTTGCAGCTCTCCATCGGCAAGTGGTGGCGTCTCCATATGAGTGAAAAATTCTCGTAAGGGGCGTTAAACAACATACAAACAAACAAAACAAACAAATACTTCCACCCCCCTGTGGTAGGCAGTGGATAACAGGTTTTACCCAGCTTATGGAAGAGGTACATGGTAAAATAAGTCACAGAAAAGCAAAAAATCTAATTGGGGAACAGCAGTATTACTTGTAGCAGAAAAGCAGAATTTTTTTCACGGAAAAGCAGTGTCGAATTGTGGAAAAGTGGAACTGTGTTTCTGATCACAATCAGGAAAATTAGGTTTGTTTCAAAGTTCATCAAGATCAGGTTAGAATTGAAAAGTTATAACAATGTCCATCCATCTCTCTGTATAATAGCTTTTTTACAGGGACATGATGAAAGCTAACACAACACAGATAGTTTGAGACCTGACCCAGCCAGGCCCGTAGGAAGCAATTTCAGTTTTGGGGGGCTCAGCTATACATTTTCAGTTGAGGGGGCACTATCAACTACCAAAAATTCCTTGACAAGCAAAAAAAAAAAAAAAAAAAAAAAGGGTCATCAGACGTTTTCATTGAGGGGGCACAAGCATATAGTATAGCTATGTTTTCTAAAGTAAACTATATATTGGCAAAATTATTGGGGCCCCCCCCTCCCCCCCCCCCCCAGTTCCTACGGCCATGCCAGCAATTTTAAGATGTTATATCTGTGTTTAGTCCTTAACTTTCGTTATTATAGAAAACAATTATGGATAGCTTATACTTGACACACACATTGCTCACTATCTTGATAAGGTCATTTGGTCAACTTCAAGGTCATTATTAGATTACAATTTGTGTCTGGATCATACCTTTCTTAAAGAAAAAAAATGGAGTCATGGTGATCAGAAGATTGCTCATCACCTGGGATATGCCATGTCCTTGACTAAAGTCATTTGTACAATTGAAGGACACATGCTACAAACAAACAAACAAAAAATGAATGCATGGATTGGTATATATTTTTGGGCTTATTTTGGATGTAAACTATTCATAAATCAAATTTCTTAAATATTAAAAAAAAAGAAAAAAGTATCATCCTTGTAAATCTATGTAATTTTATAGGACATTATTAAGAAATTAAACTTACAATAAACTTATTTAGTTTACATATATAAAAACATTTATTAGTTGTTATTTTTTAAAAAAAAGCTTGCTTGTAGCATCTAACTTTAAAGATCACTGGCAGGAAAAAATGCAAACTGAAAAGGATTGGGAGCATATTGTGACAAGACTGCTTTTGGCCTGTGTGACAGTCACTTGCTGAGGTATGAACTCTATGACAAAGACACATAGGTAGCTCATTTCTGATATCGATGCAACCTGGCCTCAAGATCATGAACAGAAAAAAAAATAGATTTTGAATATCTTGATGTTAATTAAACAAACATGCTTGAAATGTTGCAACTTTGTAAAATATTCAAACACTCAATGAAAATTTGGGTTTTATTTTCTTGATCATTTCAAAAGTTATACAGAATTGAAATTTTGACTTAAGCCAGTGTTCTCAGTAACTGTTTATGATTTTGGGGCCTGAGTGTTTTTTTGTTTTTGTTTTTTATTTTGATTCCATCAAGTGTAATGTGTGTTTTTATACCCCCCGCTTGAAAAGTGGGAGGGTATATAGTGACCAGGATGTCTGTACGTCTGCCCTTCTGTCTGTTATGCTTTGGGGTACCCATCTCTTATCCGCAACTCCTCTTATACCACTGAACGAAATTTAATGAGACTTTCACAGAATCTTTGCTACATAGTGCCATTGTGCAACTCCTATTTTACTTTTTGATCTGACACTTATTTCGGGTCTCTGCCATTATAATCATATGGGAGGCGGGAGGTATTATCTAGTGAGCTCAGTGCTCACAGTACCTCTAGTTTGTTATTCCTACAAACAAGGATTTTAAGAAAATTTTAACAAATCATCAATATAAAAAGTTTGCAATACTTTGTATTTGTCATGCAGGTTGTTGGAATGAAACTTTTGTAGCTATTTTTTTTTTTAAGCCAACTGAATACTACCATTTGTGCCATACACAGGAATTTTGTTTCTATCAAAAAAATATGTAGTTAGAAGGGTTTGGTTCTATAGGTTAGGCAGTCATGGTTTATTCTACACACTATGGCTGAAATGAAAAAAAGTTTCCACAGGAAAATTTGGAAAAATACAAAATAACAAAAAATTTTCATGGTATTGTATATTTAATTCATGATAAGTTTGTGTCCATATCATTTGATTTAATAAGTAAAACATAAAATATATAACGGTTAATAATGAGAATACACAAAAGTTGATACAATAAATAAAATGGATAGACACTTAATAAGTGTACCACAAATCACTTGATTTTGACGTACATGACTTTAACTGCCATTTTTATGACCATGTCATCAGTTTAACAAGAGCTGTCAAATGAAAATGTCATTTGAAAATATAACCTTGTTAGATTGCATCAATATGGCTTTAAAACTCATTTTTTCTGAAATCAATTTTTTTTTCAAACTATAAAAATTTGGTATGAAGGCAATTTTTATTACCTGGAAGTGACTACTAAGTTGATTTATAACTAAATCTTTGGATACTTTGTAAATTGGGTAATAAAAAAAAACTAACTACAAAAAGCTGGCACTTGGAATAAGGTTTCAAAAAAATGAGTAGTAGAAAGAGCACAGTACAGTAACAAAAAATGATATGTAATCAAAGCACACAAAAACATCATTAAATATGTACAATTATAACAAAATTATGCCTATACACATATATTTCATATATATGGATTTCAAAACTCAGACATGAACCATGATTTGTTGAAGACACTGTCATTCAGGATTCTTTGTATGATAAGAAAAAAAGGAGCAACCTTCAAAATAAGCCCATTAAGTTTTGACAGGAAATCTTGCACATTCATTTTTCAATTATTTTTCTAACCTGTACTTTTACTTTCCATCAATCATGTCACTATGTGATAAACATTAAATAACACTCCTTAATATATAAACAAGGATTTCAAAATTTGACTGATGTCAGTGTCAAAACACCTGAAAATTTAGCACCATTAGTCAAATCCACAGTTCATAAGGTGGGTGGATCAAGAATAAAGCATGGTGCTGTTGTTGATATTAATGACGGACTTATAAACAGTTGTCCATCAAAATCAACCCAAATTTTGCTCTGTAATAACGATGATGAACTACCAGTACATATAATCTCATATCAGATGATTGATGTGTCTTAAACATCAAAGAAAGTGAACTAATTCTTTGTTCCCTCTATCATGACTTTCAATTTTGTTTGTTCTAAAAAAAATTATATGAAAATATTTACTATAGATATCATTATCTAATAAGGCAGTGTGACCATCAAAACAGTAATTCTGATATGAAAAGTACAAATTGTTACATAAATCTTGTGTAATTTGGATTGTATTCAAGCCAATTCTTTCACAGAGAGAAATTATCAATTTCTCCCTGCAAGAATTTTCTAACATGATAGATAACAGTATATTTATTGCCCATGTTTTGTATAACTTGACATTTAGGAGTTTCTCTCTGAGAGGGGGAAAGGCGTTTTTGTGATTTGATGCATCTTGTAATGAGGGGAGTCAAACACCCATAATGATTTCAGCTTTTTCCTAATCAGAGAACATAAAACACGTTTTCCTGTCAACCAAAATTACAGCCCAAAATCCATTCTAAGCACATCTGACAGAAACTAATTCATACATTGCTACTTGCCCAGAGCATAGCTATTTACACAAACTAGTTGGAAAAATTATACATTCCAAAATGGTTCATTCTATACAATATATTATGCAGAATATATGTATGTGTCATATACCTAGAGGAAAAAAATTTATCACCCACAAAAATTCCTTTTTTAGTCTTACTAATGAAATCCTTCATCTTAAAACTTTTCTGAACATGGATTTCCATAAAACTTTGGTGTTACACAGACATAGAGCTGTATGATTAAACTTTTCAACACACTGGGATATAGACTTAAATTAGCACATAAATAAAACATTACAAGAGGAAAAACTTTTAAGACTTTGTCATCTTGCATTACATTCTAGTGCATTATCAAAAATTTCAAAGCCACTATTTTCCACAAATATTAATCATATAACAAAACCTTTTATAGTACATATAAAAAAAAAAAGAAAGAAAAGAAAAATCACATGCAGACACCTACATCTCTTGCCCGATTTCACTATTGAAACCAGATTTTTGGAATGTTAAAACTACATGTACTTTTGTCTAAGATATATCACACAATGATCCCTAAATGATCTTCTGACTGAATTATAGTGCTGCCTTTTGGGGAAATGCAGTAAAAAAAAAAAAAAAAGACCATCAGAATTTATGAGTTTTTTCAAAAGTTTAAAAGGTATAGTCCCCTAGATTACTTCCCTTTCTTGGCAAGCTCCTGAGCCAATTCGTAATACTTGGAGAATTTGGCAGTGTGATCTAGAGGGAGGTAGATATAAGGGCTCATATTGAAGGCTTCTTTAATTCCATATTTTTTGACAGAGGAAAGATGGCAGCGACTAAGGTGATACCTGTAGGAACCTTTCGAGGCAAAATGGCGGCTGCAGGCGGCGCAGCGGTAGTCCATGTTAGCCTCACTGTCACTGCTATGGCTGCTCTCTTGATCAGAGAAACTGTCTTTACCATCAGAAAAGTCCAAGTCATCATCGTCCAGTTCCCTTTTTAGGGAAAGATTCAATGGACTAGTTGACATTGAAGCTTCTACATGGTTAAAGGTTTTCAATGAATGTGATGGCATGATTTTAGGAATGTTACTGTTTGTTAAGAGTTTCTGCAGACTGTCTAATGGGTGTTCACTGGTTAGGGATTGACTGTATACAAAACTACTGAGAGAGTCTAAAGCTGAAGATTTTGAGGATGAGGATGAAGATGAGTCCTTATTTTTCTCTTCCTCATCCAGATTCAGATATTTGCTACTAAGGATTTCACCATTTATCTCTGGCTTAGGAGTGCTCAGGGTCTCTTTTGTTTGTTCCACATTAGGACTTTTGGATCCTTGCACCTCTTTACACATTTTTTCTAGCTTCCCAATGTCATCAGTAGAGGATTTTTCCTCCAAGGAACTTTTTTCATCAGACTCGCTTGAATAAAAGTAATGGAAATATTTTTGATATTTTTCAAGTCTTATAGATGGACTAGATCGCTCAAGGGGCTTTTGTGATATTTGGCCTACCTGCTCTTTGTTTGCAGATCCCATTTTCACAGAACCTCTTCTGTAATTGAACTCTGATTTGAAGCTTCTCTGAATGAAACTCTCCATGGCAGATAGAGCAGAGCTCTCTTCTTTAATGTCCTCATCTGTCCCAAGGTTGGGGTCTATTATGTCCAACTTTTTGCAATCTCCACATCCATCATCAATTTTTGCAGCAGAAAATTCTGAAGTATCAACTTTCTTCAAATCTGTGTCCATTTTTGGAGATTCATCACTTTCTTCCACTTCTTTTTTCACTTTTACTTCAATATTTCCATCTTTTGCAGTCTCAAAATCTTTATCTTTTTGCAAGCCTGATACCATGTTTTTCTCTGAGTCCTCTAATTCTCTCTTGACAGTTTCTTTTTTGATTGAAATTTTATAATTTGAGTCATATTTGGACAATAATAAGCAAACTCGAACATGATCAACAAATTTTCCAGTCTCAATTTTCTCACTACAGTTTTCACAGGTGATTCTGCTATCTTCAGAAGCCCCATTTGAGCTGGGACTTCTGGATTGATCACTCAGTGGAGAACTTTGGCGGGAAATTTTAGCCTTAGATTCTTCATGAGTGCTTCCTACAGGTGACATGGACCTGTCAATCTGCTCCTCCCGGATGTACCGTTTTTGTGGCAGTTTTAATTTGAAATCAGAAAAAGGCGACATTTGGTGCATTTTCTTTTTGTGGTGACCAGAGAGAACCATGTGGTTGGCCAAGCCCTCCATGTCACTGTAAGCACTATTACACACCTTACACTTGAAAATACACTCCCTGTCCAGATCCCGGTCACAATAAACAGAACACTTGTGTGACCGCCTCCCATGTTCAGATGTAACGATTTTTGTGTAATGTTGTGTCTGCATCATGTGAACAGTTAACATGGGTAGAGATTTGAAGGACTCACCACACTGAATGCATCTAAGAATTTTTTTGGTCTGTTCAGATTCCTGGTTAAGCCACATGTCTTGCCCTCTCACTAGTTTTGGATACTCCATTAGGTTGGTCTGTTTTGTCCCCGCTGGTAGATGTCCAGATTCCTGTAAATGAAGGCTAAGTCCATATAGGGTACTATAGGTTTTCTGACAAGAACACTTGTGAATTGTATACTTGTTGTCTTCTTCTTTGTCAATACTCTCTGAACTCTCCTTTCCTGTTTTGGTTATGTTTGAATTCTGGTCTTTTTCACTAGCAGCTTTTGAGTCAACTTCATTTTTCAGTTTTTCCCTTAAAACTGGATCTTTTGAATCTGAAGTCTTATTTTCACTCTTATGACTTTGACTTAATGTGAGATCATTATAGATTTTTTTCTGAGAATTTGAATGAGATTTCTGGGAAATAGTGGAGGGTAATCCTGTGAGAATTCCACTCATTGGTCGGCGACTGGTGCGGAATCCTGCCATGCCACCAAATCGTCTTTGCAGACTCTGAAGACTAGAACTATTTGAGAGGAATCCATTTGTGTACTTTCCTGCTGATTTCCTTGTGTCCACAAATGAACTGGATTTGGATGATCCTTTTGTAGACAAGTCTAAAGGTTGATCCTCTGAATGGACTTTTGGGAATGAATATGGATTGGATGGATTGAAATGCTTTGGAAATTTGTTGGAGTAGTGTTTGGATTTCAGAATTGCTTGTCTAGGGTGAGTGGGTGCATGTTTGACCATGGATGGTGTTGCAAAATATGGGATGGCAAATTTTTTGTAATAAAGTTCATCTCGGTAAATTTTCTTTGGAGGTGATGGGCCTTTGTCACTCATAAATAAGGGCAATGGATCTTGCCTCATCAGTCTTTTCAATGGTGGTGTTTCAGGACGTTTTTCAGGTTCCTTTTTAGAATTATCTTCCTTTTTCAGAGTCATTTTGTCACATTCAGAACTATCACTAGATTTTTCAGATGTTGTCTGCTCTGATTTCTCTAATGAATCCTCCTGATTATTATTTGATGAGGTACCACTTTCCAGCGGTTCTGGGACTGTGTTTGAATATTTTTTTGAGTCTACTTCAGTTGAGTTTGATTTTTCATTGAGAGGTAAAGTCTTTAACTTTCTTTCATCATCTGATGTTTCATCCTCATTGTCACCATCTGATCCCTGATCATCATCAGAGGCTGAAAAAATGAAGAAAAAAAATCTTAATTAAAGTTGTATCAGCACATGAACACGTATTTACAACATGTACAAAGGACAGCTGTTCCTGTTGCAAGGTAAAAAATAAAATTAATAAAACTCAACAAAACATTAAATAATTTTAGAAGTAATATAAATGCATTTTCTTTAACTTCCTTAATGAATATCATCCTGATGAACTACTTCCCTGATAACTTCATACAAACTTGCAAACAGAGACAGAAGAAAGGGAAGTTATTTAATTTGGGAGATTTATTTCTTTTTAAGTCCTTCTACTAAACAATAAATTAAAAAAAAACCTGTAGCAGTCAACGGAAATCATGGAGTAAATCCAATCCCATAGAACAAACACAACACCTTTTAAGAAAAAATAATGTCCGTAAGAAATATACTTTATTCCAAAGAACATGAAAACAGCATTGTCACATGCTAAGGTCTGAACAGATTATGAAAGAGAGTGTTCAGTCTGGTTCAAACCAAGAGATTTAAAATGAGTGATAGGTGAATCAGTCATTAAGACTGATGACAATTTATGTTTATTCTAATTGTCTTCTGTTGGTCCAATTTTCCACAAATGTCAATTTTACACTGTGATATGTCATGGTGCTGTAAGCAACATGTAAATAAACTGTCATCATTATGCAATTCAACTCCTACATTAGACCCAACACATTTAATTCTCTCTTCTTCAATTAGAGAAATCTGGAATATTTTCATCTATGAAATTCACTATGCAAAACAGATAACTACCTGTCTGAAGATATAGAGCCGGATAAGTTAGCCTCCCTTTTGTCCATCACACAACGATTTGCCACACAATTATTACATGTTTGTCTGTGGCCCATAAAACACACATGAAAGTGCTGTCCATGTGTCAAACTGATTAATAAACACGTCAGTCCACCTCCAGCGCCCAAACAAGATAACCTACTGGACCATCAGATAAGCGAGAGTTATTCCCCTTGAGCTGTGAGACCGAGATTCCTTTGGCGTACACCTGCGTTCTTTAACGCCAAGCTGATGAGCTTTAGTTGACAGGTGACAAGCCACTGTAAGTGACACCCCATGTCCAGCTGTATCTTCATGTTGATGTGTCCGCTTGACCCCAGCATTATATTTCATCAGCTTACTAATGGGGAGACCAAGATGAAATGATGGTTTTGTCTAAATCAACTGACACCCCTTTCTCATATTAATGATGACTCTCTGTCATCTCTCAATTACTCTCTACACACAATAGACAATGCAGTATTAATTAATCAAGACACTAATTAATGCACAGATGGATCTTTTCAAGGATACTTCAGCTTTGATTGAAATTAAATTCCCCAAATTAACATTTCAAATTCACATCTTATATGCAGTGCGTTGGACAGTTTTAGCATGTTTTGACAGTTATTTTAGTAAATCCTCTTTTTATTTGTGTTGTTTGACAACTGTCTGTGTAGTGACTGAGGGCTGAAGTAGAGGGCGAGTACTGAAGCAGTGGTCGTCTGTCCTGATAAAGACTGACAGATGTACCATTTGATTACAGAAATAATCTGTCAACACTACATGGAATGTACCATAAGTAATGAGTGCTGACATAAAGACAGCTCAGCATCAATGCCCTTAACCACTGTGTGTATTTTCTTCCAATAACAAATAAGCTACTGAACTATTGTCAAAATAATTAAATAGGTTGCTCAATGTTTTTAGAGATATAAATCATTATAGATGAAATGGAAAATTGTTGGGTGGGTAGGATCAAACAAATGTGTAAAATCTTTTTTCAACCTTTGTTATAATTAAATTTCCATTTTTTATAGCATCTTAATTAAATTTTTCAACTTTATAAAATAAAACTTATATTTACCTTGGACAATTTTCAGTTGCATTGTTTGCTTAACCCTCACCATTCATAAACTTCCTGCTAACGTTTCAAACTTAATCAGAGGGTTAGGAATTAAATGCCAAATTCTTACTTAAACACAAAAATGTTGATAATCCAAAGTGACACTAACTAATTCCTAGAAAGTAATTAAAACGTTATCAACAATCACACTTCCCAAACACAATGAACATTAACACGAGTATCCTTCACTCAGGTGCCTATCATCTCAAGTGAGCCGAGTCCACATCTCGAGTAGTTCCCCACACAATTCTCAGCTTACCGACTGCTGTCACTTTGTTAACTGCATCTCGTTTGTGCAACTGACAAGTAGCTTGCTTCAGTCGACAGGTTTTTTAAAAAATCAACAAACATTTGATGAGGAAATATTGATCGGAGACTAGACAGGTGTACAATGAAACTCACAGGTATGACTGGCCCTCTGAAACTGACGACTCTGATTACACGAGACAGCCAAGCATTCTGCCTTCCTCTCATCAACAAGATAAATGATTGCAAAGCAAACAAAACAATACATGCAACATTACATCGGCATAACCGTTTTTTTGTGTGAGGGGTCCTGGCTTAAGGCAGATGTTACAGTTTTTATGTTGATCTTCAACCACCGAGTGGCACAGACGGTCTCTCGGATGTAAAAATAATGAAGTCACCCTGATCTGGAAGACAATCAGATAGGAGGGGAAACATTAACTTGCCATTTCTCTCTTTCCCACTAAACAGAGCACATGATGTGTCACCCATATAAATCAAATGATAATAAGTAAACTAACACTGCTTCTAGTTATAAATTTATGTAAGAGAGGTGTGGAATTTAAAAATATAAAAAAACCTTAATAAACAGGATGACTGATATCTGATAAACATGTTTAATTAATTACAACCTTCAAAACACTTTATCAATGCTTTTTGACAGGGTTTTAAAAATTTATTTGATTTCAAAAATGCATACAGATAAATGTTGTCAATCATCTGAACAGTTCATATCTCTTTAAAAAGTGTGACTTCCTTTGCAAAGCTCAAAAGTTAACATGATTTAAAAAAAAAATGCTTATAACATAATTGTTTGGCATCAAAGAAGACTGGTGCAATTTAATTTTTTTTTTTTAACAAATGATAGATAAAAAAAAAAATCTAGAAATAAACTTTCTTGGGGGAAAAAAAAACTGATAAAAATGTCATCAGGATTAGAACTACTGTACCAATAGTTCAAATAATACAGAGTGAGTACAGAAAGAATGATGGAACAGAAGGCCCTGTCGATCAGTCAGTACCTCCCAGAGGATCAGAACTGTATCTGAAGAGCTTTGTTTGAATTCATTCCAATTTTCACCTGTCAACCCGTTGTAAATTTCGAGCCTTTTGAGTCTGACATATTAGTCAGGTTGACAGAAATTGACAATGAGCGAGATGTATTGATTTTGCATAAACTTCGCTGTCTATCAAAACTTCAAGTAGGTGTCAGGCCGCAGGCCACAAAAGGAGTGTTCCTGGGTCCGAAAAGCCAGACAAGAAACTTACATGTCAATAAATACTCACTTGGTTCCGGAATATTTTTTCCATTTGTCATTGAGAGTCCAGGAGATTTCCCCTTTTCCTTTTGTTGATCAAGTCAACAAGGGTGAAAAATGAACTATAACAAATGTACCACAGAGCTATTAAAATAATCTGATTTAATGTTTTGTGGAGAAAAAAATGATGGAATTGTAACACCCCAGGTAGAATGCTTTCAATCACCTATAATGAGATAAAGCTGACATTGAAACTGAGCGACAGGTGTGCTGAAATAATGACTGCACATTTCCGGTGTGCATCAAAGGTGTCCAAGACATTTTGAACGGAATCTAGATTTATGCACTTTCTGAAGCTTTGTAACACCTTGGGGGCCCATCTACTACAATATCTGCTGGTCATTGTAGGAGGGTGTTCTGTTGGACCAAAGTTTCCAAATTTGGTCTTCTCTAATTTTTGGATCAAGTGAAATTAATTTGTTTTCCACACAGAAATATTTTATGTACTTTCTAGATCAGGTTCATGATATTTTTTTTGATTTTATGGAGGAAAAAGAATTTGGGATTATCAAAGGGGGAATACATGCTTTTTATCAGATAGATAGAGAGAGAATCATCTTAGTAAATGAAGAAAATTTATAACAGGTACCCTTTGCTACTTAATATATTTCCAAGATTACCACCAAGCAAAATCAGTAGAAATCTTGTTTAATAGAACAGAAGTACTCAGTAAAATCAAAGAATTGTTCAGTACAAAAATTGAGTCATTGTCAGCCCAAAGCAACCTCAGGTAACTGGTATATGACTTGGAAACATTTCTTGCATTTACCGGTATTTTATGAATGTACCAATGATAACAAAAAAAAAAATTACAAAAATATAAAATAGGAAAAGGTGGGAGGACATCTTCACAAACTTCTGAGTCCTAGCAATCAATCAGTTTTTACAATGTATAATCATAGTACTTAAGAAGTGACGAACCTGTTAAAAATAGCATCCGCAATACGTTGGCATCAATGACGCATCACAATGCATGATTGATGGGACAGTGTCATCATGCTTTGTTTGTTTTCATCTTTTTAAATTTAACATTAGAAATTCAAACAAATAACTCTGGCAATTCAGTCTAAAAATCATAGAGATAAATATATCTCACTATTGGTAGAATGTGATGTAATGGTTGCATGGCCTTTACTAAAAAAAAAATAGACACATTTTATTCTTGTACACAGAATGTTTAGAGGATTTCACCCCCCCCCCCCCTTTCCAAAAAAAAAAAAAAAAAAAAAAAAAAAAAAAAAATCACAAACATTCACAGCTTTTTGCGGTTATCATTGTCACTGGTGATCTTTAAGACTTTTCATCACCCTACATAACATTGGAGGTTCCAGGGGATAAAAACACATAGATTTTACACCTAAAGATTTTTCAATTCATCTCTAAAAAGTTATAATAGATACCAATCATATTAAGTCTTATATCTATATAAATATCCTAAAAGAAACTTCAATACAGGTAAAATTAATTAGCTGGAATACATGATGTGGTCGTGCTGTCATACAACATTTTTTTTACTTTTTGA